TCATCTATTTTACATACCATTTTCCCTTCTGGATTTTATAGGCTCAGGTAGGTAAAGTGTCTTATACACAAACATAGTGGCAGACCTGGAAGATGAGCCTAGTGTCCTAGATTTTTAGCTCTTTATAGGAGTCCTGGTGTGGTGCTGTGGGTTAATGCGCCAGACTGCAAAGCCGTTGGAACTGCAAGGTTGGTGGTTCAAGCTCACCAGCTGCTCCTCGGAAACTCTATACAGGGTCGCTATGGGTAGGAACCAACTCAATGGCACTTAACAACAACAACAATATAGCACTCCAGTGTGCCTTCCTGGTTTATAACTTTAGGTATGATGGTCTAAAAAGAAGTACTTTGAAATGTTTCAAATTCAGTCTGTACAGCTGATTTGCTGCTGCTGCTGCACTGTGCCATCAGGTCGGTTCTGACTCATAAAGACTCATAAAGTGTTTCCGAGGCTGTACATTTTTACGGGAGTAGAAAGTCTCATCTGTCTCCAGTGGAGCAGCTGGTGGATTCGTACTGCTGACCTTCATGTAACCTGCTACACCACCCGAGATCCTTGTACATCTGATTTGTTGTTGTTGTTAAGTGTTGTCGAGTCGATTCTGACCCAAAGTGATCTTGTATAGGGTTTCCAAGGAGCAGCTGGTGAGCTTGAACCACCGACCTTGCAGTTCAAACGGCTTTGCAGTCTGTTAATGCGCCACACCAGGACTCACTGTTTATTCTTCACCAACCTCTCCTCTTTCTTCACCGCCCCTCCCCCTTTTGTCTGAAGATCAAAGAGCACAGTCTTTGGTATGATTACATCTCAATGTCAAGAAAACAAAAATCCTCACCACTGGACCAATACACAACATTCTTATCAATGGAGAAAAGATTGAAGTTGTCAAGGACTTCATTCTTCTTGGATCAACTATCAACACTCATGGAAGCAGCAGTCAAGAAATCAAACAATATATTGCATTAGGCAAATCTGCTGCACAGGAAATTTTTAAAGTGTTGAAGAGCAAAGATGTCAGCTTGAGGACTAAGGTGTGCCTGACCCAAACCATGGTATTTTCAATAACTGCATATGCATGCAAAAGCTGGACAGTGAATAAGGAAGACCGTAGAAGAATTGATGCTTTTGAGTTATGGTGTTGCAGGAGAATACTGAAAGCGCCATGGACTGCCAAAAGAACCAATAGATCTGTTTTGGAAGAAGTGCAGCCAGAGTGCTCCTTGGATGCTAAGATAGCCAAACTTCGTCTCTCAGACTTTGGATATACTGTCAGGAGGGACGAGTCACTGGAGAAGAATATCATGTTTTGTAAGGTGGAAGGTCAAAGAAAAAGAGGAAGACCCCCACCAAGATGGACTGGCCAAGTGGCAGCATCAATGGACTCAAGTGTGGCAACAGTAGTGAAGTTGGCCCAGGATCCGGCAGTGTTTTGTTCTGCTGTGCATAAGGTTGCTATGAGTCAATACCAACTCAATGGCACCTAACAACACCTGAACCACAGAGTCTTGGTGTGGCACTGCAGGTTAATGCACTGGACTATAAAGTCAGTTTGAACTCCAGGGTCGGTGGGTAAAGCTCACGAGCGGCTCCCTGGGATTCCTATATAGGGCCACTGAGGGTTGGAACCAACTTGATGGCATGCAATAATAAACAACATATCTGAACCACAGAGTACTGGTGTGGTGCTGTAGCATAATAAAGTTGGTGGTTAAAATCCACCAGCCACTCCTTGGAAACCCTATATAGGAGAGCTATGAGTTGGAACCGTTGGCAGTTAACAATGGCACTTTACAACAACATACCTGAACCACACAAACATGATCTATTGGCAGGAAGGATTGGTGGAGAAGTGATGGGTATACAGCTAATAAACTCTTTAATGGTGGTATATGAGAAACATTAACTCTTCTTTGAGACCTTTAACGAAAATTTAAAAAGCTTTAAAGAAGTTTAAGGGCTAGGGCGTTAACTGAGAGTATCTGGCAGAGCTTTCTGTAGAGGAATTTTTAGGGAACAGTGACCTTTTTGCTGCTAGGTAATAATTTGTTGACAGTGAAGTAAAGGATGAAATAAAGGAAGAGTTTGAAATAAAGAGGCATGGCCTCTTCCTCTGGGGTATAGTGGGAAATGGTGAACTGGATAAAATGGTCAATTAACCTGGAAAATAGTCCAACCCAAGGCCCCAGGTAAACTTAGTTACAAAGTCTACAGTGAACTGCTCTTAAGGATGGTGGATTTTATCTTTGCAATTTCCAGAATCAATGTCTTTTATTTCATATGGTCTTCTGTAAGGTGGATATGCCCATCATAATGCCAGACTGAATTCCTCTTTGGCATTCTACTTCCTTTTGGGTCATGGGATCCAGTCTTCTGAATGTGGTCCCTTTACTGTCCCTTGATCAGCTGAGAATAATGATAACATTGAATGAATATCGTGACAGAAAGTTTGGGAAAGAAAGCTTCCTATAGTGTTTCCACCAATACAATAAATATCGAATAGCTGGCTTAATTCTATTTCATCTCTGTATCCATTCAACACACTTACTGATCATCTACTGTGTGTATTATGCTAGGTGAGGGTGTTCAGTGGTGAAAAAAAAAATCCATGTTTCTTGACGTCTTGGAACATACAGGTAAACTAGCGGAGTTTACAGCCACATGCAAATTTCCCCTCTGCTTTCTCCTCACTTTACTGTTCCTGGGGGAACTGCCCCTTATGACAAGGAGGAAGAGGAGAAGAGAGAAAGTATCAGTATTATTATTATTATTATTTTAGCTTTGGGGACAAAAGCTGAGACTCAAAACAATCCTGGTGAGCTCTGGAGCAAGTGTGGAAGCTGGATTTGACAGTTTAGCCCATGTTTCTAACTGCTAAGTAATGTCTTACTTGTTCTTCTCAGTTTGGACAGCCATAAGCTAACAAGCCAGCTTGAAGGTATGGAGGGATCTGGGAAGGAGGTCCAGACTTCTTCCCAGAGAACATTTAGCTTCTCATCCAGCCTGGCATAACTAGGCACTACCTGACGTTTCCTTTTCATAGAGTAGCATTTTCTCCCCCCCCCCCCCTTTTTTTACAGTGAAATTGGAACAGTCGTGGGAAAGTGGGACAGGTGTCACCAATCAAGAAACAGGGCTGTTTATTCAACCCAGAAGAAGACTCTTAAGGAAGGGACAGACTCGATACAAAGAAAGCTAACTATCTCCGGATCAAGAGGAAATCACCTTAAATCAGAGACCAGAGTTGGGTAATGAGATGCCCTCTGACAGGTGGATATTGAAAGAGAGGTGGACATTGGAAGAGAGGTGGACAGGTCAACTGAGCGCCTAAAATGCGAGGCCTGAGGGAATTCTTTTAGTTTCTCTAACCTGTAGGATGAAATGTTTCCAGGTACACAGTACCAACCGTGAATTCAGTATGTCAGGTGCTGGTGGGGCTTAAGTACAGCTCGCTGAGGATGTGGTGTAGTGCAGTGGAATGTCGCATACTTCTCACAAATTCTGTGGGTTTCAGCTGAGGTCGCAGAGTTTAGGGAGACGAGAAGAGTAACCAAAAAAATCCGGGAGCCAAGCGTGAGTGAAGGTCCGCTCATGCTCACCGCCGCTCCCCTGCAGCCAGAGCCTCGCGAAACCAGTGCCTAGCCGTCCCGGAGTTTATCCACCGCCTAGACCGGCAAATAGCCCAGGAGTTCTGCTCCCAAAGGGGAAAAGGGGCATTGCAAGGGACGTCCTATGTGTTCCCGCCCCCCC